CAGCAAAAAAGAGGTGGGAGATCGCAGGGCCAGACTGAGAAGATTTCACAGGCCGCCACTTCTTCTTGTCAACAACATCACAAATAATATGAGAGAGTTTTTCAATACATAGAACAAAAAGATAGGGAGATAAGGGATCTCCCTGTCTAATACCATTCATTGGACTAAAAGGAGCAGTCAATTCCCCATTCACATTAATCTGATATCTCACAGATTGAACACAGTTCATTATCAACTTAACAAACGGAGCAGGCAGCCTTAATTCAAGAAGCACATACTCAACAAAATGCCAACTCAACCTGTCATATGCCTTAGAGAGGTCAATTTTCCAAGCGACAAACCCTTTTTTCCCTTTAGACAACTTAAATTTATGCATTAACTCCTGCGCAATAAGGATATTATCTGTAATATGTCTTCCAGGGATAAAACTAACTTGGTTGGGACTTATAAGATCAGAAAGAATAGGCCTTAACCGAGCCACAATGATTTTAGAGATGACCTTGTACAGAGTAGAGCATAAACTAATAGGCCTAAACTGAACCATAGATTGGGGGCTTTGCACTTTAGGCACCAAAGTTATTAAAGTGTAATTCAGCCTGTCAGGGATGCTGCAATTCTGAAAAGCTTGAGTCACCAAAGCGAAAATATCATCAGCACATTTATTCCATTGAGCTTGATAGAAACAAGCTGGGAACCCATCTACACCAGGAGCTTTCAAACCTCCAATCCCAAACAAACTTCGCTTAATCTCAGCCATGTCAATATTCTTCTCAAGCAACTCCAAATCAACCGAATCAATAACAGGGAACAACTTAGGTAAAGTCAGATCTCTGTGCTCCACAAATTCTTGAGAAAACAACTGCTCAAAATATGCCATAGCCAAACCTTTAATGTCTTGAGCTTCCTCAACCCAAACCCCCTCATTATTCTTTAATCTCTCTATTTTATTCCTCCGCCGCCTAATAATAGTAGTAAGATGAAAGAATTTGGTGTTTCGATCACCTTCCTGAAGCCACTGTAATCTGGATTTTTGTTTCCATAACATAGCCTCTTGCTCCAGCACACAATTATACTCCTCAATCAAAGAAATTTCCAATTTACTCAAAAAAGTATTTGAGCCCCTGCACAAAGCTTTTTGAATACCATTAAGACGAGCCAACAAACAGGCCTTCCGCTTCTTAACATGTCCAAAAACATTAACATTCCAATCTTTTAGCGGCTGAACCAACTGATAAGTTTTGTCCAAGGCTGATCCAGCAGCTTGTCCCCAAACATCAGAAATAAACTCATTGAATTGTTCATGCTGCATCCACATTGCTTCAAACCTAAACGGCCTTAAGTGCGGAGAAGCAACAAAATGAGAGCTCAACTTAATCTTAATTGGATTGTGATCAGAGGTAGTCCTAGCTTTTTGATTTACCCTTCTTCACTTGTAGCACAACTCACTCTTTCATTTTCCTTGAAAAGCTTTAATCCAGACATTAAATTAAATACAAATTTATAAATAAACTCAATCCTAGACATGTATTTATAAAAAAACTCAAACACTATTTAAATATAGAAACACACCCAAAATCAACCCCAAAATCAACAATTGTATATTTTTTTGGTGTGTTTATAAATGGGTTTTGAGTATATGTAATGATGGGTTTTGGGTGTGTTTATAAAGTGTTTTGGGTGTTGGGTTTTTTATATAATTTCAGCCCCCATTTTGGGTGTTTTAGTGAAACTCCCTAAATTAAACCCCATTTTTTCCCGCTGCCTAGCGAAACCCCCTGATGTCTCCAACTTAATGGTTTTCAATTTGTGTAATTTATGCAAGGATGATTTTTGAATGATGACTTAAAAAATAGACAATTTGTATTATTGGACGACTTCTTTGGAAAAAACGTCAATTATTGTAAAATTGGTAATGAACCCTACAAGGTATCCCTTAATAGAAGGGAATTATATTATTTAAGAAAACAACGACATCTTATTTGGGAAGTGTAATCTAATGATTAGAAGGGTCTAGTTGTAGATTATATTTCAAAGATAATCCATGCAAAAAATCGGATAAACTATAAATGGTTTAGCCATTTAAATGGTAAAACAGTTTTCTATTTGAACGATTTTCTTCAAGAAGAACCTAAAATATGAACTATCTCCATCATTAAATTGGATGGTGGGGATAGTCTTAAGAAGAATGTTCTCATTTTTTTTCTTTTTAGGAAAGAGTAATGCTACACTTACCACATTTTTATTCCACATTTCTATACCACATGATGTGGAATGTCTATATTATATGACACATCAATTAAATCAATGAAGTGTATTTTAATTAAGGCAATTAGAAAAACAAATACCGGAATAAATCATAAAAGAAAAGAAAATATTAAATAATTTTAATTGATGTGGCTGTCCACCTCAGCTGCCACATAAGATAGTATAAAGATGTGGTATACAAATATGGTAAGAGTAGCATTATATATAGACCCAATGTTATTAGGAAAAACCCACGTAATTTCAATTATATGTACCCATTGACTACCATGACACGTCAACAAACTTTTGTTATAACTCTTTTCTTTTTCTTTTTCAAGATATGTACAAACCCCATACTGATCTGATGGTGTGCATATATACATAACGGTCAACCCCAATCACATGGCTATCTCCACAAACAAAACTTGCGCGAAACAGGGAATCCCTGAAACAAGCAACCTGCATTCATGAGTAATATTGTTGCATAGCATAAATATATGTGCATCCCAAAAACACTGATATATGTTGTATCTTTATATGTGCATGCTAATTGTATTATGCATACATATGAAAGAGGAGACATATTCTTATTTTGTTTTGGTGCCAAAGATAGGAAGGGGGAGGGGAGAAATTCTCACACACGGATACCACGGGAGCGTGAAACCAGGACCAATTGGAAGCACACCAAAGATGTGGAACAATCCAATTAACACCCCATTAGTAAAGACGAGACATATTCATGTGCTAAAAAAAACCTTCAGGCCAAGACAAAACAAAATGTATTATCGATGGTCATGTGAGAATCCAGCTTAAACGGAGCAGATGCAGATGCACTAGTATAAATTACTCAATATCTCTTCCTTGTGATGATATCTCATCTTCAAAAAGGCAACGAGGCAATAATTTAATTGAAAATAAATGAAAGAGACAATTAAATTCCTTATCTTAATATAGTACACCGTACATATACACCAACAGAACATATAGTACATTTTTCAACAACTATAGCAATCATTTCACGCTGACACCACAATGCACATGGGATTTGCATATTGAATTTTGACATTGATAGCTACTTGTTATCATATGACAATTGCGTAGCTGATCTTCTTAATTTTCCTGATCGTATACATGTATATCAATTATGTGAGGGTCGGTTATGAGACTTTGAGAGTCATGTGCGAAATTTAACCTTCGACCCTCACATGATGTAATACGAGAGTACTAAAAAGTTTGGAAAGGGATTGAACCTTTAGATCTAAACTGTAGAGAGAATAACTATTTCGTTGAAATCAACATATATACTAAGCATAATAATTCGGCTCAAGTCAATTATATATACAAGCATTTGTCAAATAGAATGTGCTGCTCTTTAAAAAATTGTTTGATCAAATATATTCAACAGTTTATCCAATAATTATTAGTATCAGAACGTGGCTTTGAGCCAGAATAATGGGGGCTCACATTTGGCGTGTTCTGCTTGACTAATTATTTAACACATCCATATTATTAACCAACAAAGTTCTGACCTTGAAAAGCCCCAAATCATGCCCTAAACTAATGAAAGCCGCCGGCATGCAAAAAAATGCTGAATTAGTATAGTATGTTTATAAACTTGAAATCGAAGTTAACATAAATCGGAGTGAACATAAATCGGAGTGAGTATGAATTGGAGTAATTTGAAAGCAAAAAGAAAATGAAGCCGATTTTCATTAAATTGTTTACTAAATTGTCAAAAATCGAAATGAAAACCATCGTGTGTTTACTAGAACCACTACCCCCTTCTCCCATTCCCCAAAAAGCAAAGCATAACGTATTGATGTTTTCAAACCACGAATTGTTAAATAACGAAATATTCATGGGTATAAATTATATAAATAATGGAACGCCGATACACGCACATGATGCTATAATCATGTGGATCAATGTAGAAGATTTGGTGTGTTCAAATCAAACAACGAGTTTTTCTTCCATCTTATGCGCTAGCCCCCAAACTTTGCACAAGAAAGGGGCGAAAAATAAAAATAAGTGCAATTTATGTACGACGTAAGAAGCAGTTCGTTAGGCTGTACTTTATTAGAATCTTCAGAGACGTCAAAGACAAATTAGGTCTGAATTAACAGTAACTAGCTAACTGACGTCAAAGACAAAGACTCCCCTCCTACTAGTCCCTTTTTTTTTTTTTTGCCGAATTTAGGAAAGAGAGGGGGAAACTACCATGACTTGAACCTAGGACCTGTTGGGAGCACACCAGAGACCTGGACCAATCCAATTAACACCCCATTGGTACCTACTAATCCCATTTTAGAGAGACTAAAGAGGGGTGCATGTCAACACCAAACTAAAGTCGATGGATTAACTTGTGGTTCAAGGAAACGAAACACATAAAATTAGGATTAGCACCGTACCCTAAAACATGATTCAAAGAATGAGGATGGGGAGGTCATGTCATGTTTTGCTAATATTATTTGTACAATCTATGTAGCAAAGTAGCAAGCTACGTAAGGTCATTTTCGTAAAAGAGAGCTTCAAAATAATAATGAAAAAGGTCATTTCGGCGCCACTTTCTTGCTTTTGTCATTTTAATTTGCGAACTCATTACATTATTTGAAACCTATAAATACCCCCTCAAACCGTTTCAACTTCCTCACAAACACATTTCTCTCCACTACTCCAACTCATTTTGCTCCTTCATCTCCATTTATCTCTTAAAATTTCATCACAAAATCATTGGAAAACCCCAAAGTAGTGTGCAAATGGCAAACCCTCGAAGCCTAATTGTTCTCTCACTAGCCTTTGTGTTCATGATCAACTCAGCCTTGGCCACTGCGGTCACATACAATGTGGCCAGCTTAGGAGCCAAAGCAGATGGCAAGACTGACTCCACCAAAGCCTTCCTCTCCGCATGGGCCAAAGCTTGTGCCTCTGTGAAGCCCGTTGTCATTTACGTTCCGGCAGGGAGGTTCTTGCTTCGCAATGTGGTATTCAGAGGGCCATGCAAGAACAACGCCATCACCTTCCGCATTGCTGGAACCCTCGTGGCCCCGTCCAATTACGGGGTCATTGGAAATGCCGGTAACTGGATTTTCTTTCAACAAGTTACCGGGGTTACAATATCGGGTGGAATTCTTGACGGCCAAGGCACCGCATTGTGGGCTTGCAAGGCGTCGGGCAAGAGTTGTCCCAGCGGAGCAACGGTATTTAACTATATTGCTTATCAAATTATTGATGACATGCAAACCATTACCTCTCTGATTAAGATAATGAATATAATATGCTTCCCATGCATGTGCTTATAGGCCTTATATAATATATATTAGTAATAATTTTAAAGGTCAACGCAGGGACCATTTGGGTTATCTTTGTTAATTCCTTGCATCACGGGTTTAGAGATATAAGCAAGCTCATATTTCGTAAAGTTATTAAAGACACATGATATATGTTATCACGAGCCTGATGAAGTATGTTTGTGCAGACATTGGGTTTTTCCAACTCCAACAACATTAAGGTGAGTGGCTTAATATCCCTAAACAGCCAAATGTTCCACATAGTCGTCAACGGCTGCCACAATGTGAAAATGGATGGTGTTAGGGTTTCGGCGTCCGGCAATAGCCCCAACACCGATGGGATTCACGTTCAAATGTCATCCGGTGTTACCATCCTCAACTCCAAGATTGCAACTGGTGATGATTGTGTCTCAATTGGCCCCGGAACCTCAAATTTGTGGATCGAAAATGTTGCATGTGGACCCGGTCATGGAATAAGGTATGAAGTCAAAATATGCATCTATGATTGATAAAACTAACAAGCAGCCTAGTATGCAATAATATACATATATATATACTTCACAGAATGAACATATTCGTTTGTGGGCTTTATATTTGTGAATGTAACATTTGTTTTGGTTGGTGGTTCAGCATTGGGAGTCTAGGCAAGGATCAACAAGAGGCCGGTGTGCAAAATGTAACAGTTAAAACGGTTACTTTTACTGGTACCCAAAACGGTTTAAGGATCAAGTCTTGGGGGAGGCCGAGCACTGGGTTTGCTAGGAACATTCTTTTTCAACATGCCGTAATGATCAACGTCCAAAATCCCATTGTTATCGACCAAAACTATTGTCCTGAAAAAAAAGGGTGTCCTGGTCAGGTAAGATATCAACACAATACCACTTTCTTTGACAAATATAGCCATTATATGATTATACATGTCTAATTTTAGAACGTACCAAAAGCATTCATAACCACTTGCTCTCATTCTATCATTTTTATGTTCGTTCAAGCAGGTTTCTGGAGTTCGAATTAGCGATGTGACATACCAAGACATCCACGGTTCGTCGGCAACAGAAGTTGCAGTTAAATTTGATTGTAGTTCCAAGTACCCTTGCAGCAAGATCAGATTGGAGAATGTGAAACTTACTTATAAGAACCAAGTTGCTGTAGCTACATGTAGCCATGCAGGTGGAACAGCTGCGGGTATGGTTCAACCTACAAGTTGTTTGTAGAGGGCAAATACAAATTTTTGTATTAAGTCTGAATCATCGTGAAGCATAGAAGGAAATTTAAAATTGTGTCTCTTGTACAATGGACAAAAAGAAGTAGAATTGTACGAAATTATAGGGAAATTTTAGTGTTAGGTCAATGAAATTGAAGTCATTGCTTTATCCTGTGGCTTTGGAAGCACATTATTGGTCTTCCTTTGAGCCTGGTCTTGTAATCTGCTAATTTCTCCAAACCCCTCAAATTCGATGGGTGTTTGTATCATGGAGTATGAAGATGCATTTCTATTTTTTATTTCTAGCTTTTTATTATATGATTAAATAAAAGGATAAACCGTATCGAAGTGCAAGGAACAAATGAAATTGACCTTCTTCCTAAAATATATATATATATATATGTAACTTGTTCTGTTCTCTAAAACCTCTTCCGAGAACTACGACTACAAGCCAAACCGGAAGCGGCTCGCTTCTATTCTCATCGGAACTATGACTAAAACCTCTTCCAAGAACTACGGCAGGGTATGCATACCGGTTTTCCAATCCCCAGTCTCATTGAAAAGACCCTCTATGTTTGAAAGTGCAAGGAACCATTCTTCTATATAACATTTTCCCATCACAGTATTTTGTTACAAATTCGACGTTGTATCTCCTTGTTATAAGCATAACCCTTATTTCCATATTTCCTGCGCACAATTAAAATTATATTAGTATAGTTTTTACCATGCGCTATTATAACCACTAGAGCCATGACTATCGGAAAATCTCTTGTACAACAAAACCATAGCAATCTTGAGATCCAAGATTTGACTAAGAAATCATACTGTTGGGACCAGAGGTCAATGGGGCAATTGATGAAACTGAACCAAGGTTTAATAGCAGTTAAAAAATGAGCTTGTTGAAGAACCAGGACCAACATGAATCTTCCAAGAAGAAGATCCTTCACTATTATCATGGCAGACAGAGAGTGTGTAAGAGATCACAAAGCCTTTTGTTCAACAGTTTTCTCTGCAGCCGACAGCTGATAACGAAATTCTTTCAGCGTAGTTGGAGTCTCAAGCGACAGTAACAGATTATGTCATACTTTGCACTTAGGCAAGCCATACAGGGAGCGATAATCACATCCTCATGGGAAATCTTCAGATCAGAAGCTTAAGGTCATCTCTAGCATTCTTAATGCGCAACAAGTACTACTCTGGCCCCTTTGAATTCTATGCAACCGTGTCTTATAACGATTTATACTAGCTAGCACAAGACGTTGTAACATATCTATCAACCAGATTCTTTACTGCATTACACAAGGTCCTACCACCAATAATATACCGCAGTCACTAGTCAAATGTAGCAAGCAATAAATTGAGTAATGCCTTATTCTGTTTTCATCCAGGACTTAAAGGCCTCAGTAATGACAGACTTAGAAAACACAACTTTGAACAATCAAAATAGCCGAAAAAATCATTGCCTTTCATAAAAGTGCCTATCATTGAGGTGAAGCAACCCCGTCAAACAATCAATTTCAGTTTGTGTACACATCAGCTTAACAATGCTCACAAAATTGATAAGTCCAGAAATTTACATATTTATGTACTCTTTATACTTAGTTTTTGTAGGAGAATTTGATTTGAAAAGGACTTATTACTTTATTTTTCTCAATTTTGAGCTTTCTGGAGCAAGTAATTGGTTGTTAACGGAAATACGACTTTTTGGTGGAGTTTTAGTACAAGACCAGAAAGAGATAAAAGCTAAGATCTTGAAGCTGATTGTGGAATGTTTCTAGAATTTTCGGAGTAGCCAATGAGAGCAGCCTTTGAAGTTAAGTCAGCATAAAGTGCAATCCCATCAAAACTGTGCTGCTGTAGAAGAATGATTATTTGAAGACTTTTCTAATTTTTCCCAAATTTTCTTGGAGGAATGATTCCAAACGTGCGTGCAAAATAACTAACGTGTTATCCCAGTCAAAATAGGAAGAGGAGTCAATTACTTACCCATTTTGGATTTATGTTTTAATTAGGTTTTTCTTTATTTTTGGACTGTTGTAAAAGGCCAGCTAGGGTAGGAATAGACATGTGGTGTTTTATCTAAGCATGAGAAACAACTCCTTTGGGAGGACGCAAAGACTAGGAGAAATTGGAGACGCCAAAAGAGTACCACAATTGGCTAAGTATTATTGCTAATTCTGTGACTGGAGACTAGGAGAATTCTGTGATTATGTATAACTAATTTTCTTTTGCTAGGGCATGATGTAGCCCTAGTATGATAATCTAGTTTTCTTATTTTACCAATCTATTGATTGCCGTTTGATGTTGGATTCTTAATAACTATGCTTAATACCTTAGTTGATATATTGATGTTTGATCACCATCTAGACTTTTAATTGAATTAATCGGATGCGAATTAGAGTAAATACCATACTTAAAGTGATTAGGATTTGTAATTCGTCTAGGGTAAATACCATACTCCTAGGGTTTACATGCTTGTTGGAGGTTTTCATTGATCTTAATGAGTTTCTATGTGTTGATATTTGACCTAAATTGAAATGACCCGACCCAAATTCCACTTTGGAATCCGGGTTGAATCTTGTTTAAAACTGACACCTGGTGGTTGTGGGTCGTAAATGACCAAAATGCCTTGAAAATAATAACACCAACCCTAAGGCCCTAACTCATGGCTGCGCCTGATAACTGTAGGCTGCCTACGTACCCTTACTGAGGGATCAAGCCACACGTAGTGGTTTCCTTTGTTCCTAATCGTAACTGGTTTGTTTACTGTAAAACTCGCTCTAGGGCTGACATTCCTGGAGTAACCAGGACTCCGTTTTACGATCCGTCAAATACTATACGATCCTGGCCAAGTCTAGATTACCATATCTGAAAATGGTTACGATTCAACGGTTCAAAACTATTGAACCCGGAAATCACACAATATGAGAGATCCATTCAGGGTTCAAACGTTAACCAAATTGAGATCCGTGAATTCCTACGCTCTCGTGACGACCCAAGGATCATTCTAAAATTGAAAGTGGTCTCTACCAATATGCCCACGTGCCGCCACACGCGCCGGCAGCGCGTGGGTGGCTTGATCAATTCCTGGAGGTCGGAAAAAATCCAAACCACTGGCCCAAACTCCTAACTTTGGTAAAATACCCCATTTGGAACAACTTTTGTTCTTGGACATATCCCAAAAACTGGCTGGAAGTGGCCGAAACAGCGACCCAAAAATCTGCTAAAACCTAACTTAAACAATCGAATGATCTACGCTTGAAATTGTAGGGGCTTTTTTCTTCCGGCAGCTACTACGGGCCTGACTGCCGTAAAGGGCAAAATGGAAGAAATTGCCCCTTGAGCCTGAGTTCGAAAATTAAGCCCCAAAATACCTCGAAAAGGCAGTAGAGCCTTAGGAAGTATTTTGGTTATCTTCACCAACCAAAATAATGGCAGCTTACACGTAATTTCTTCATGCTTACAGATGGTCTTTTCAGCTCAGCATGAGTGGCATGTGGCATGGGAGCAAAATCAACATGGGTTTAGCACTAAGAGAGAAATTAGGCTTGGTTTATGAGAAAAGAAAGTGTTTAAGTAAGGAATGAGGTGTTTTGTGAGGAATTCGACTAGGGAAAGAGGAAAAAGAAAGGCAGAGTTCTTCTGGCAGCTGCCAGAAAAACAAATTGGAGAAGAAGATGAACAGTGCACGAGTCTGAGTTTTGCAAGATAGAGAGAAAAGCTTGCTCTCTGCAGGTTGTGAGTTGTTTTTGTTGGGTAGGGAAGGCTCAATTTATAGCTGCCGGAAATCACCAATTTTCAAGAAACCCTAATGGCTTCTACTTACTTTGGCTAAGCTTTTCTTCCTTTCTCCTCCCCTTCTCTGACTTCCCTTTCTTGGCAAAGATTGCTTCTGTCTATTTTCATGAATTCAGGGGATTTGGGGGCTCAACATCCTCCTTTCCCGCGGCTGTGCAATGGGAGCTTCCACTCTTGGTTTGCTGTTTTTTCTTCTTTTTTTTGGGTTGCTTGGGCCTTCTATGACAATAAGTTGGTTTATCAAGTACATGGGCTAACTTCATCAAGTATTGGGCTAGTTTGGTTGAAGTGATGGGCTATTTTGGTTGGAGTAATGGGCTATTTTGGTTGGGCTATTTTCTCTTTTGTGCTCACCCACATGTTTGGGCCTAAGAAATGGGCTTGGGTTCCGAGGCTCCCAAGTAACCCGGAACCTCCACTTCTTGGTCCATTAATGGGCCTCATGACAATTTATTACCATCCATACCACAACCCACTCAAGCAAGCCCCGGGTATTTGAGTGGCTTGGGGCCCACTTAAGCTTGTGGCGTGATTAGGTGCGGAATGATAATTCCTTGCTTAGCGTGGCGTGTCGTTTGGCGTGGCATGTGTGCAAGCGCATATGATGAACTTTCGCATGCCCAAATCGGGTTTCTTCTTGGTAAAGCATCACATTGGGCCGAGAATTTATTTGGGCCGAACCGTGAATATTTTGGGCCTCAACAGAAATCTCTAAAATCCTACCCAACCAGCAGCTAGAGCATGGAAAATAGCTAGAAAACAATACCTTACTCGTCTGATTTGGTGGCCGGACGACGGAAAACAAGAGCTCGAAAGTTCTGTCAAAAACCGGTTGTTTTCGGGCTGTTTCCGGCGGCCGGAGCTGCTGCCGGGGGGCTGGGATGTGGCAAAACAGATGGCTGGGGTAATGGCGGTGCTAGCCTGACCGGTCCCGTGGCCGACCGTGGTGTGTGGCGGTGCTGGTGGCTTGAAGAAGCCACGACTGGAGGAGAGAAACCGCCGGGGAGGGGGTCGCAGAGGAGAGAGATAGAGAGAGAAAGATCAGTTTTAAAACATCTGACCTGGAAAATTACCATTTTGCCCCTGAACGTATTTTGATTGTATCTCCATCAATACAACTCGGATTCGAGTCCACTACGTGTCTACGGGCTCATCTCGTTGTGCTCTACGTAACGGTATAACTGAAATCCTCAAATTCCTTCCCGGTCAAAAAGTCAACTTTTAAATCATTAAAATATTCTAGAGTATAATGGTCTTTTAC